GTAAATATTTGCATACAAGTTTACGTGTGAATACGTATCTTCAGATCTCTGGGGCACATACCTAGGAGTGGAATTAGTGGGTCACATGCTAATTCCATGTTTAACATTTTGAAAAAAATACCAACCTGTTTCCTGACAGCGATGTTCCAATTTCACCACATCCTCACCAAACTTCTCCTTTTCTGTTTTTTTTATAATAGCTGTGCTGGTGGGTGTGAATTCACATCTCATTTTGATTTTGACTTGCGTTTCCCTAATGACTAATGTTGTTGAACATCTTTGCTTGTGCTTAATGGTCATTTTTATATCTACTTTGGAGACACGTCTACTAAAATCCTTGGCCCCTTTTTAAAAAATGTCCTTTCTAATGCTGAGTTGTAATAGTTTTTTTTCCCCTAGTTCTAGCAGAGACATGATTCGCCAAGTTTTTCTCTTATTTTCTCTTCACTTCTCACTTTCACTTTCTTGATAGTATACTTTGAAGCGCAAAGCTTTACATTTTGCTGAAGTCTAATTTACACAATTTTTCTTTTGTTACTTGTACTTCTGGTATCATATCTAAGAAATTACTACCTAATCTCAGGTCCCAAACCTAAGAGTTTTACATTTAGCTCTTTGATCCGCTTTAAGTTCGTTTCTGTATATGCTGTGAGGGATATACTTACTGTATATGCTGTGAGGGATATAAAACTTACTGTTTTGCATGTAGACATCTAGTTGCCCCGGTGCCATTTGTTGAAAACCCTGTTCTTTTTTCTCTATTGGTGGTCTTGGCATTCTTGTCAACAATTGGTTGGCTGTGTGCATATGGGTTTGTTTCTGGCCACTCTGTTCTATTTATGGACTTTTTAACTCCCCATTCCATTGATTAATATGTCTGTCCTTAGGCTAGCACCACACTGTCTTGATTACTGTAGCTTTGTAATAAATTTTGAATACAGTAAATGTTCTCTCAATTTGATCTTCCTTTTTAAAATTCAATGTATTTAGGGGCGCCTGGGTGGCTCAGTTGGTTAAGCGTCTGACTTCGGCTCAGGTCATGATCTCGCAGTCCGTGAGTTCGAGCCCCATGTCGGGCTCTGTGCTGACAGCTCAGAGCCTGGAGCCTGTTTCAGATTCTGTGGTCTCCCTCTCTCTCTGACCCTCCCCCATTCATGCTCTGTCTCTCTTTGTCTCAAAAATAAATAAACGTTAAAAAAAAATAAAATTCAATGTATTTAAACCAAAAACAAAAGCAGTTCATTCATTTCTCCCACCCTTCCCCCCACCCCATCTCTGGTAACCATCCATCTGTTCTCCGTATCTATGAGCTTCACTTTTTTTATTCATTTTTAAGATTCCACTTATAACAGAGATCATATGGTATTCGTCTTTCTCTGACTTATTTAGCATATTGCCCTTGACATCAATCTATGTTGTCACAGATGGCAAAATTTCATTCTCGGTCTTATTTAATATCTCTCTCTTTTTTTTTTTCTTGCCTTTCCTGACTTCTTGTGATTACCTCAACGTTTCTTAGTACTCAGTTTTTCTTCCTTTATTTAACTGTACCTCTTTGTTTCATTTTATTCATTTATTTATAATATATTAATTGAATACCTGACATCTTCATTTCTTTGATTTCTTGAATCTCCACACCAGCCATTAGCTTCCTTGAGGTGGCAAGAGTGAAATTAATACAGGGAAGGTCAAAGACCTAACTTGAAAGAACTCTACCGCAATAAGATGAGAAGCTTAGAGGAAGAAGAAAAAAAGTAGAAGGTGAGCAGAGGGATGGAGGGGAGAGCTAGAGGAAGTAAAGGCAGACAAGAATTTCAAGAAAGAAGTGATGGTCGAGAGGGGAATTGAATAGAAAATTCCCCCCAAAAGATATGCAAATGGCCAATAAGTACATGAAAAAGATGCTCAACAACATTGATCATCAAAATCAAGATCACAGTAAGATACCACCTCACACTAATTAGAACTGCTATTATCAAACTCCTCTCTACTGCCCCCCTCCAAGCCCCAGAAAATAAATACTGGCACGAATGTGGAGACATTGGAACCCATGTGCATTGCTGATAGGAATGTAAAATGGTCCAACCACTGTTGAAGACATACGTATGGCCGTTCTCCCAAAAATTCATAAAATTGCCATACGATCCAACAATTCCACTTCTAGGTATGTACCCCAAAGAACTGAAAGCAGAGATTCAAACAGATATTTATACACCGATGTTCATAGCAGCATTATTCACAATAGCCAAAAGGTGGAAACAACTCAAAAGGCTATCATCAGAAGACTGAATAAATAAAATGTGGTATATACATACAAGAGAATATTATTTAGCCTTAAGAAAGAATGAAATTTGGATATGTGCTACAACATAGTTGGACCTTGAAGACATACTAAGTAAAATAAGCCAGACACAAAACGACAAATATTGTACCTAGAATAGCCAAATCCACAGAGACACAAAGTGGAACGGAGGCTAAGTGTAGGAGAGAATGTGGAGTTAGTGTTTAGCTGATGCAGAGTTTCAGTTTAGGATAATGAACAAGTTCTAGAGATGGATGGTCGTGATGGTCACACAACAATGTGAATGTACTCAATGCCACTGAACTTAAAAATGCTTAAAATGGGGGGCGCCTGGGTGGCTCAGTCGGTTAAGCATCCGACTTCGGCTCAGGTCACGATCTCACGGTCCGTGAGTTCGAGCCCCGCGTCGGGCTCTGTGCTGACAGCTCAGAGCCTGCAGCCTGTTTCAGATTCTGTGTCTCCCTCTCTCTCTGCTCCTCCCCCGTTCATGCTCTGTCTCTCTCTGTCTTAAAAATAAATAAAAACGTTAAAAAAATGCTTAAAATGGTAACTTATGTATATTTTAGTTCAATAAAAAGGTAAGAAGAAGTGCCCGCAAAAGCACTGCATTTCTTATTTTATAGATCAAGGAAACACAGCACAGACTAAGGAACTTATTCAAAGTTGCACTAGGGAAGGGCAGAACTAGAATTTGCATACAGAGAATTCAAAGGCTGTGGTCTTGACAATTCGCCACATTGTCTCTTTCCAAAGTGGTTACTGTGTTAGTGTTTATAATAGCAGAAATATGGAAACAACTTAAATGTCCAAAAATAAAGCTCCATTGTGAACTGTTATAATAAAGCCATTAAACTTATGTTTCAAAAGACTTTTCTACTGACATGGATATCTATTTACGCATTAAGTGGGGAAATGGCAGTATACAAAAATGAACGTACGTTATGAACCAAGTTATATTTTTTTAAAACGACATGCATTTAGCTTAAGTATGTTTGAGCATAAAAAGAAGGAATTCTAGGGCTCCTGAGTGGCTCAGTCGGTTGAGCATCCAACCAGTTCAGGTCATGATCTCACAGTTGTGAGTTTGAGCCCCACGTGGAGCTCACTGCTGTCAGCGCAGAGCCCATTTTGGATTCTCTGTCCCCTTCTCTTTCTGCTCCTCCCCTACTTACACTTTCTCAAAAGTAAATAAAACATTAAAAAAATTTTAATTGGAATCTTACAATCAGAATTGTAAGATTCGAAGTGATTTCTTTTTCACACTTTTCTGAGTGTTTTCTGTACTAGTTATCCAATTGCTGTGTAACAAATTGTCCCCAGACTTAGCAACTTGAATACACAACGAATATGTATTTTCTCTCACAGTTACCATGGGTCAAGAATTTTGTAGCAGCTTCATTGGGTAGTTTGGGCTTGCAATTTCTTATTCGGATCAGTCAGATGTCAGCAGAGGCCGTGCTCACTTAAAGCTTAATTGGGTTTGGAGCTTTTGCTTCCAATGTGCCTCATTTACATGGCTGCCAGGTGGGTTCCTTCTCCACAATTATCCTTGAGTGTCTACACAGCATAGCGCTGACCTCCCCCAGAGTCAGTGCTACCCTCGAGACCCAGGGGCATCGCTGCAATGCCTTCTGTGACCTAGCCTCAGATGTCACACACGGTCACTTCCACGATGTTCTATCAGACACGCAGACTAATCCTGATTCGTGGAAGGGGACCACACAAGGGGATGAATTCCAGGAGGTGAGTACCATTTTGGAGCTGACTTCCACAGTCTCACACTTTGCAAATGAATTCATGGGGCACAGCTGTAGTGTCATGATTAGAGGTGTGGGTTCTGAAGCGACACAATCTAGTTCAAATCCTAGTTCATCCACATAAAGTGTTTTTATCAAATAGCAAAATGCATATAATCCTGAGAAAGATACGTGACTAATTTGTGCCTCACTTTCTTCATCTGTAAAACAAGAATGAATACGGTAACCAGCTTACGGGATTGTTGTGAGAATTTAACGAGTTAGTATATGTAAAGCCCTAGAATACCACCTGGCCCATAGTAAGTGCTACATTGACTACTATTGACTAATATTATTTACCATTTTTAAAATCATAAAACTGATTAATGGAACAATCATTTAAAAAAATGTACAGTATGGGGGCGCCTAGGTGGCTTAGTCGGTCAAATAGCCGACTTCGGTTCAGGTTATGATCTCGTGGTTCAGGAGTTCCAGCCCCCCCCATCGGGCTCTGTGCTGACAGCTCAGAGCCTGGAGCCTGTTCAGCTTCTGTGTCTCCCTCTCTCTTTCTGCCCCTTCCCTGCTTGCCCTCTCCCTCTCTCTCTCTCAGAAATAAACATTAAAAAAAAAAAATACAAGTTTCCCTCCTCTTGCACTTAAAATAAAGGCCCCAAAGCCAACATCAGCAGAAAGAGCTCAGTTTCATATCCACTTTGGAGTTGGTTTTTTTGTTGTTGTTGTTTCTCCCCACCCCCCCCCCCCCCATCAGAGTAAGTGGGCAACTCTGAACTGGGCCATGGTAACATAAAGCCAGCAAATATTTCCGATATACCAATAGTGTGCCAAGTCCTGCGGGAGGCACTTGAGGGAGTAGGTCTTGATGCTTAATACTCATGAGAAGACAGGAATGTGACGCTGTGATGTTTGTGATTCTCTATGCCTTTAGCTTTGCAGACGCAGCCCTGAAGAGGTTTATTCCACTTCTCCCAAAGTCGATCGTACATGATAGCCAGCCATCTATCCTTAACAAAGCCATGCAGATTAACCAAGTGGAAGCAAGATTCTAACTGAAAAGCTGGTAGGACCTCGGTGGCGAGTGGTCAGGATCAGGCCCAGCCTAGAAGGTGGCTCTTCCTGGAATCCATGACTTGCCTTTAAATGTTCGACTTCATTAGTGTCAAAAGCTAGATTCCTCTTTTTTCTACAATTGTCATTCAAATATTTACCTTATTTTAAAACTTCTTTTTTAAATGACCTTTTTATCTTAGAATAATGATAGTTGCACCGAAAAGTGATGAATACAGTTTCCAGATATCCTTCATGCAGTTTCCACTAATATTAACATCTGTCATTACCTATGGTACATTTGTCAAAACTAAGAAATTAACATTGGTACAGTGCCATCAGTTAAACTCCAGACATATCTGGATTTTATCCATTTTCCCACTAATGTCTTTTTTTCTGTTCTGAGATGTCATCCGGGATCCTACACTGTACTTAGGATTTCTCTTTATAGGCTCCTTTGATCTTGACAGTTTCTCAGTCTTCCCTTGTTTATCATGAACTTGACAGTTTTGAAGAGTGCTGGCCAGACATTTTGTAAAATGTTGCTTAATTTGGGTTAGAGTGATGTTTTCTCTTGATTGGACTAAGGCCTCAGGTTTGAGGAAGAATACCCAGAGGTAAAGTGCCTGAGGAGGATTTACTTTTTTAGAACACTCTTCAACACCTTTAATGTGAAGGTGATGCTATGTATCATGAATTCTCAAGAGGGAAAGCGGTTTCTTAGAGAATTTCAAGGAAGGTATATCAAAGTGTTCCTTTCTCGTGTATCCTTCGTTTTTTTCTGTGTTTTCACCCTGATCATATTGGCTAATTGGATGTCTGATTCTGTCTCAACGTTTTCAAGCTGGCTCTACAATAAGGGTCTTTCAAGGGTCCTGTCACCCCTTCCATACTGAGCACCTCCTGCTGGGCCAGCTGCAGGGGGAGGGGCTGGAGTGAAACACTACTAACACAGGTCCCGACTCTCGAGCTCACCTTCGGTTGGAGAGACACAGCGTTGCAAACTGAACTAAACCAATTTGGTTTCGTGATCATCGAGTCCCTTTTGGTGGATGACAGTGGCCTCCAACACGTAGGGTACAAGAAAAGATACAGATGTCCCTTGTCCCACCCCCTCCCTACCAGGTGGTATAGCATGATGAGGGCACATCTTAGCCCACTTTCCACACGGTGAACCAACTTTTATTAGCAAGCAAGTGAAAAAAAAAAAAAAAACAGCTCTCAATCTGTTCTGTAATTCTGGTGAAGTCCTTGCTCTCTGTTCTTTCAGACTCTCCAACACCTTGCACTGAAAGTTTCACTAGAGGCAAATGCATCTGTATCCTGACAATAGATGAAATCAATCAAATCAGATGGGAGAAGCCTCCAGTAAGTGCAACACCCAGGGCTGTGTGCGGTTTAGATCTTGGCTTTCCTCTGTTCTGCCCACGACAGGACAAGGTGAAGTCCTTCTGCTCTACTGTATATTTTGAATACCACCCATTCTATAAGTGAGAAATTACTTCCACACCCCTTACTCAAAGAGCAAGTCCTCTGGTGCAGACTTAAATAAGAATATTTGAAGTCGGGCAGCTTTTTAAATGTTCACCTATCACCCTTGGTATAGGAGTTCCTGATTAAGAGACTTCAGATAGTAACGAAAAGCACCAGATCGTGGATTAACATTAATTCACACACACACATTATACTGTTAAAGAAAATATAACACAAAGAGTGAAACAAGTTTACTACAGTGAGACAGGGACAGATAAAGGTCTGTATAAAGCGCTGTGAAGGGGCTCACGAGGTGAGGCTCACAGCGGTGGAGCACAGAAGTCCACAGAGGGGCAGTCTTAAGTACAGCTACCCTGGACTAGTGGCTTCTCTTCAGGGCGCTCAGGAGAAAGGGATTCTGGGTAGAGGCAGCTGCCAAGCACGGGAGCAGAGGCAGGACCTGGTTTGGTATAGGCTCGGCATGGAATCACAGAGGGGAGGGGCAGTGGTAATGGAGACTGGGAAGACAAGGGGGGAGGTGCAAGTCTTGAAAGTCCCCCCCCTCCCCCCACGACTGAGGAATGTGGATTTGATCCTATGGGTAACACGCTCTGAGCCAGGTCCCATGCTAAGTCCTCTCCGCATATTCAATTATTTCTGCCTCACAACCTGATGAGATCGGTACCATTAGCACCTCATTTTAGAAACAAAGCAGGCGAGTCCCAGATAATTTTGCCGATTCAAATACTGCGTGCCCAATTACAAACTGAATTTCAGACAAACAAGGACTATATCTTCAGTATATGTCCACGTGGTATTCGGTTGAAAGCTGGCGCTCCTAGGTCCGGAAAGGCGAAGTAAGTTGCTCAGGGAGTCACAGCCGCTAAGCGGGAGGGCCAGAGTTGGGACGGGTGGGCAGGTGGGGGCACGTGCTGGGCTGCACCCTCCCTGCACCCGCCAGCCTCCGCAGGTACATGCACAGGGTGCAACAGGGCCACGGAGAAGATTCCCAGCGGGCAGGAACCCTGGCCAGGCTGTTAGTCATCAGCCAGCCCTGCGTTTGCCCTTTCAATCTTTCTCAGAGGGCCTATGTTCTCACAACAGGTCTACAAACCTCCCATTAACCATCTTAATGCTTAGAACAAAATCCATGCCCTGTGACTAAGTAACGAAAATCCCCTGGATCTCCAAAGCTCTCTCTGCCCTAAGGGTTCTGAAACTTTTTAAGGGTTTCCAGTTCCCCTCTCCAGTTGAGCACCGTAATTAGGAACCTATTCAGACCGGATCTGCACACACTATGCATTTACCGCTCTGCCTACCTGTTGCTACTGGCCTGGGATATAAAACACAGAAACGTTTGAACAGATTTAATGAGGTTTCACCAGAGGTGCAACAGGCAATTGTATTTTTAACACTGGAACGTTTCAAATATTTCAGCGAGGGAATGCTAGGTGCTGGCCACGCAGTGAGGCCCCGGGCAGGATTACTACCCTTACGAGATAACTACTTTTCAGAGTGTCATGAAAAAGGTTGGATATAAAAAACAGACCAAGAACAATGCAATGGATATTATAATAAGGGATGTAGAGGAGGCTGTGGAAATCTGGAGCCGGGAGCTTCTAACTACCCAAGAAGAAGGGTCTGGCTACTATAGTGTGATTCCGACCTGTGCCACCATTGGCATTCCCTGAGAGCTTATCAGCAAGGCAGAATGGGGGCCCCCACCCAAACCCGCAGAACCTGCATTTTAACAAGATCTAAGGCTGACTCCTATGCACGTTGAAGTTTGAGAAGCATTTCCTTGGAGAACACCAGAGATAGATGAATAGAAAATGAATCTGGAAGGATGGAGTTTTCCACGTGGGGTCTAGAATGGAAGACCTTGGCTGGCGGGCCGGGGGGGGAAGAGCATAAGCAAAAGCATGCAGCTGTGAAAAGGAATATATTCAGGAAACAGGAATCTTTGGTATCTCTGGAGCCCAGTAGTACACAGGAGTGATGGACGGGGAGACTGGAAGGATCCGCAAAGACAACCTCAGAGGGGGCAAGATCGTGGGTGACTTTGTTGCCATGGTGAAGGGCTTGAGTTTTTAAATATAATTATTCAAGCATATAAAGCCGTGTAAATAAAAGCATAAAATAGGATAATGAGTGTAAGATAGAAACAAGACATTACAGATACAGCCTTCTGTGTATTCCCACCCTCCTCCATTCCATTCACCTCCCTCCTTTTTTTCTTTTTTTTTTCAGAGAGAGAGAGGGACAAAGAGAGGAGACAGAGAAGGAGAATCCCAAGCAGGCTCTGTGCTGTCAGCGCAGAGCCTGATGCAGGGCTCAATCCCACAAATTGTGAGATTATGACCTGAGCTGAAACCAAGACTTGGATGCTTAACCAACTGAGCCCCCCAGGTGCCCCTCCACCTTTCTTAAACCTAACTACTATTCTGAGTTTGGTGCTTACCATTTTGATATTTGTTTTATAATTTTCATACGTATGTTTGTACACACAAAAAATAGTGTTTTTCATGCTATGTTCCTACACTTATTTTACTACAACTTGATTTTCTGCTTCAACATTAGGTTGTCGGGATTTATCTGTGGAGATATACAAGGCTCCGGTTAATTCATTCTTAGCTATCATACAGTACCTCCTTGGGTGACTAAGTCACTATTTATTTGTCCGGTCTCCTAATGATGGATATTTTGTTTCCAGTATAAATGATGCTTGAATGATGCTTGGGTCCTGTGTCCATGCCTTAGTTTCTCCAGGAAACATTGCTAGGAATGGGGTTTCAGGTCGTCAACTTTGCACCTCTTCTTCAAGGTCACTAGATACCATCAGAGTGTTCTCTAAAATGCTTGTACCAGGCGGTGCCCCGGTGGCTCAGCCGGTTGAGCCTCTGGCTTCGGCTCAGGTCATGATCTCGTGGTTTGTGATTTCAATCCCCGTGTCAAAATGCTTTGGATTCTCTGTCCCTTTCTCTCTGCCTCTCCCTCACTTGCACTCAATCTCTCAAAAATAAATGTAAGAAAGAAAGAAAGAAAGAAAGAAAGAAAGAAAGAAAGAAAGAAAGAAA